AGTATTATATATTCTTTTAAAATCAGTTGAAATCTCCATCTTACTGTGGTGTTATATACTACATTGTACATCTATGACTTGCAGTATGTGAGTCTAACAGTCTCGGTATTCCCTGTACAAAGTGTACTCCAACCAGCAGTTGTAGTTCTTGTGATGGATCCCATTACGGGGTTTGGTGTCAACATCAATGCTCACGAAATTGTTCACAGGACAGATGTGATGAGCTGACTGGAGAGTGTTTAAGATTTAAAGATGGCTATCAGGAAAAACATTACCAAAATTCAAGTGAGTCTCTCATTAAAGTAAAAAAAAATTCAAATAAATTTAATGAATAAACGAGTTCAAAAAGTTCAAAAAAAAATTTTATCTTCGTAATAATCATGTTAATCGATCATATTTAAAAGAAATATATAGTATTTTATAATCATTAATGCAATGTATGTTAAAATATGCGTTTCATTCGGATAATCATATTTCGTCAATTATGCTTAAGGTATATTTTCCATTTTTGTAGAATTCTTGACAAAATTGTGGAAATTTTAAATACATTCAATGATATTTTTTTTTCTCCGTCAGATAATAACCACCTTTGTTAAAAAGTAATGTAATCTATAACAATCAGGGATATATAAATCTAAACTGAAATTAAATCACCTGGTGTATTCATTTAAAAAAAGGAAATTTGATTTCCATATAATCAGGTTCAACATATAATAAATCAATACAAATTTAAAGCAAATTGAGTCAATCATAGAAACATGCGAAAAGACAGTATCTGCTTTCACTTAATTCATATGCAATATAGATACACGTATCCATTCAGTAACACCAAAACACAATTTTTAACTATAAGTACATGTATGTGAATTAAATCAAACCTAGCGTTGCTTTACGAGCAAATAAGTCGTTAAATAAATAATGACATAAATAATGAAGAAATACTTACTAGTTCAATGCTAGAGGAACTACTTAACATTTATATACTGATTTTATATTTATGCTTAATTTGCCATCTTAATTTTAACAGGTGTTGTACTTTTAAAAGATAATATTTTACCGAGAATATGAGAATGTTTCCCCCTAATCGGGAAGAACTTTCCATTTTCAATTACCAGTTAAGTTGTTCCTGATTTTGTTAGTAAATGGTATGCAGGATATTTGAATCCTGACCATTTCTGCAACTTAGGAGTTTCAATAATTGAAGAAGTGATATATAAGTTTAAGATCATGGACACATCTATATTTACTTAATTTGTATTTTGTATCTGTATTTTGTTATATAAAGGGTTAATTGATAACAATAAAATTCCCAAAAGTGTTCAACCGTTCACATAGGAAATAAAGTAAAAGCCAATTCAACGACTTAATTGCAATCTTTTACACCCGAATTCTTAAACACTCAATATATGAATATATTTCACAAAATGCAGAATAAAGTTTGTATTAATTTTTTTTTTCAAGTAAAAAAAGACGAATTTTGAACTCGTGAAGAAATTAAAAGCTATTAGATTCCAATATTTATATACATTAAAATTCTCGAAGGGGACATTAAACTATACACAATTAATCAATCAATTTCTAATAAATGAAATATACTTCTATAAATAATTATTTCTTCCTGACCTGATTTGACGAAATTATTACTGACGATGAGTTATCGGCCTTTTGAATGAATTAAACAAATGGAGAGAAATAGAGAAAGATACGGAAGATAGAATTGTACAGGTAAAATTTAATGGGTAAGTTTTAAGACACCTGAAAGTACTGTGTGAAAGCATTTATTTATACTCTTCAAAAAAAGAAACGCATAGTAGAATTTTAGTGACACATTGAACATAAAGATTATTTAGTAAAATGATGCATTGATAAAACAGAAATGTGGTAAGCAACAGGAATACTATCTAAATGTCATAATTACTCAACAATTTTAAAATTATAGTCAGTTTTAGACCATTAAAGATCAATATCTGGTATGCGCCCCGCAGACACAAATAAGAGCCACAAACGGCATCAAATGGAAGCAAATGTGTGTAATAAAAACTGTATAGGAATACTCTCCCACTCCAAATGTAGAACTTTGGTCAGCTGTTGCAGAGTCTGGGGATGCGATTGTCTTTGGTAAAGCATGTCAATCCATTTTGTCCAATGCTGCTTAATTTGGATTAAATCTAGCGATTTAGATGGCTGTGGCTGAAACAGGTTGTTGTTTCTTTGCAAGAATAGGTGTGTCAAACGAGCCATATGTGGCTGTGTATTGTGAGATTGCAATACGGCTCTAGGATGCTGCACAATTGAATGGGTATGTGTAGGTAGAAATGGTAAGAATACCTTTTTCCATCAAAGTCCATTAATTCGAACCAAATCAATCTTACTTTCTTTTTTATACCGTTTTCCATATCATTACACTACCACCACCAACTTTTTTAACGTCCTGCATGGAGGCAGTTATCTGTCTAACATTCATTACAAAGCATTAGCTCTCTTAAACTTATAAGAGGCTTTCAGATAAACATTCTGGACTAGTAGGTTAACCAAAATGTTCAGCAGTGATGCTGTGGTCATACTCTATTGATCTGAGATCTTTAAAGTTTAAATTTGAGGTATTGTGGGGTTGGAACAATGGCATGATTGATCCTCATTGCAATAATTCGTAGTCAACTGAAAACGGTCTTGTTAGATGATCTGTGCAGTTCAGAGATAGCTAATGCTTTAGATGACGTCCTTGCATTACATTCATGCAATTTGCGTTATCCTCGGAAGTGATGCTGTGCTGCTGATGTCACACGTAGTCTTCCATATTTTTTGCGAACATTGGGTGTTCGATGTTAATGGTTTATGTTTTATAGGTTAGATGGGTGCACGATGTTTCGGCACCGCGACGATTCGGCACTTCATCGCAAAGACGTTTCGGCACCCCGATGTTTCGGCACCGCGACGTTTCGGCACTTTTATATGACGTTTCGGCACCTCGATTTTTTTAGAAGAAAATAAATTGTATTTTTTCTAAGTCTGTATTTGTTATCATTTGTACATCATTTTTGGGACATTTTTATTATAAGGTTGAACATTAAATAATATAGTAAAAACTGGATTGATAATTTATTTATAAGGTGAATATAGTAAAACTGAATTGATTTTTTTCAACTTATGTATGTGTGTGTAAACAAGGCATGTATGGTCTTTCAGATCAATTACAAATTTTTAAATGACAAAGTTATTATAAAATTGTCAACGGAATATATTTTCAATGAGAGTAGAACAATAAAGGTACCCCTAGCACACAGAATATAATACCGTAATGTGTCAGATTCTTGATGACAGTTGAGGGGGTAAGGAAAAATTCCAGTAAATTCAATAGTGACAGTGTGTCACTTTTCCATATACACAAGATATAACGCAAGGTGTCAGAAAATGAGGGGCCTATATGAAGGATTCCACATGATTTTGATGTATCACTTGTTTCCAAACATCACCAGAAGAAAACCAGAAATGACAGGTATGTACAAATATATATATTTATATTGCAATATAATAATGCATAGCTTTAAACTTGATTGTATTTTGCGTTGAAACTTAAAGATAATAAAACGCTTGATTATTTTGAACTGAATATATAAAAATATATATCGTGTAATTTAAAAAAAGGATAATTTTACGAGTATATTATCATGCTCAAAGGTATTACATGTATTTTTAAATAAGATAAATTAATTTGTTGAAAATACGAAGGAAAAAAACCGCTGCGTGGCATTGATATTTTTCTTGATAGAAATATTTAATTATAAGGTTAGACAGTGTACATTAAAAAAATAAGATATGATTGTTTATGCATGCGATGAATGATATAGTACCGTAATTTTCACGAAATACTCAAATCTTTTACTTCCACAGAAATGAATGACATTTACAATTTATCATTGATTACAGTAATATTTTATAGACGTCTGCATCATAATAATGCCATTTGGATTTTTTATTCAAATAATTACAATTTTCTATATAAGAGATGAATATAGTGGTCATTTATCAAGTGTGCTGCATCCCTATAATCATTAAGTTTTACTGCTTAATTATACGACCTCATGTAGATTTCTGTGAAGTCTGCTGCTGTTAGAATTTATTGCACATACAGTGTAAGTTTTCATCTCAATAATTTCCAGTTTGGCAGTAATGTGTTAAGTGATAATTAAAAGCTGAATAGATTGATTAATGCATACAGAAAGGCAGAATTTTGAACTTGTCAAGGTTTCTAAAATATTTTATAAAATATGGTATGTTCATTATATAGCAAAATAAGTCACATATATACAAATCTTGGCGTTTTTTTGCAGGACCGTACGTTCTTACTAGAATAATTTAAACAACCAATCCCTAGTATATAAAACATGGAAAAATTTTTTTTTTTTAAAAACAAAATACGCATCATAATTTTTCAAAGGATATATCAGAGAACTTGAAAAAAAAAAAAGAATTGTCCGCAAATCCGACATCATTAACGTTACACAACAATTTTGATAACCCATTTATCAAATGGTAATGTTAGAGAAGTTAATGCTTGACTTTATCAAGTATTGTTCTTTTTTAAATAAAGCTGAATTTACCAATCTTTTGTTTTGCCTCTGATGTTCAGGATATAGAACGCTAAAGTACGATTCATGAATCCGAAAATTAAGTGAAAATTTAGGATAAAACATATTTGCCTCCCCATATATATAAATATTTTTTGAGAAAACATTTAATGCAAAATCTTTCCCATGATATAAGCTAGGTTCCGTGCTGATTAAAAATTAGTTTTTTTTTTAAAAATATACATTGTGTCCAAAAATTTTAAAACTAAATATCGTTACGGTTTCTTTAGCATGGGATTAAAAAAAAACTTCTTAAAACATATATCGCAACCTTTTTGGAGCTACATGTACTAGTATTTTAGACTTAGAATTCCATCTTGAAAGTAAATTGAATTTACATTAATATACGAGTACGCAGTGGGAAAAATTTCCCAACATTACATTATGTTAATATTTAAACTCAAAGTTTTTACAAAAATATGTGGATTTGTGATGTTCTCTTTATCAAATTTTTACTTTTCAGACAACTGCATCAGCTGCAATACCTTTGTTCGACCAAGGCAGGAGGCACTTCAGTGTGACAGATGTCAACACTGGCAGCATCGAACATGCAATACTGGTAAGAATTTAAAGTATTAAATCTAAATTATATGCTGCTGGGATTATCAATTTAAAATTCAAAATCTTATAAACCGTAAAATCTAATCAAGGTGTAATTTAACATTTTCAGGCATAACCAGAGCTGAGTACAGAAGATTAGTGCACGGCCAAGAAGATTTTGATTGGACTTGCGAAGGTTGTTCCAACAACTCAGAGGTCCCATCGCAAGATGACGAAGACGATGTCAACAACACATCAGAGGTTCCAGATGCCACTTTCCAAATGTCCCTGACTTCCTTGGTGGATCGGGAGAACACATCGGAACAGGTACATTCAATATTAACGTGATTAAGAATGTAAACGATAGATTCCAACATTCCACTTGTTCTATACATTACAGTTTAATTATTCATTTTGAAGCCTTTTCTCTTTCTTTGTAAAACAAACTTGAAGAGTTGGTGTACAAGAGTTAGGTAGAAAATAATTAATAATTTTAGCACACGGAGGATGAAAGAGAGGAGGAACCAAATGAGGACAACACATCAACAGCCCCAGCAGATGCCACATTTCACATTTCCTTGGGTTCCTTGATGGATCCAGAAGACAGACCTGTGATTGATCCGGACGACAGACCTGTGATTGATCTGGAAGACAGACCTGTGGAGGATCCAGAAGACAGACCTGTGGTATAATTTCATTTCATTTTATAGTATCAGTATTATAAATGATAAACATTAAATTATAATTATGAATATTAAATGCATCGTTCTTTTTTTTTTTACATATATATTATTGTATCAGTCTTTTATTTACATTTAACAACGTACACTGCATTAGTTATATTATACATGTATGAATATTCAATTTTATTAACTATTATTTAGAATCAGCAAGAGGACCAGTCCTTTGTAGCGGACACATCTTTTGATGTTCCTGCTGCTGTAAACGAGGATTCCATTAGAGAGGAAGTCATTGGTGACATGCCAGAGGAGGATGAGGCTGTGGTTGCTGAGTATGAAGTGGTAGACACAGGAACCAAACGGGGCAAGAGGAAACTGGTAGACAACCGTGGATTCCAGTATACTATTAAGGTAAAAAAAAATAATTTTACACAAAAGAGGAAACATTTTTTTAAAATAAGAATTTATGCAATAAACAATTAAAAAAGCTTTAATTCATGCAAAAACTAATGAAAACATTGTTTCTACATATTCTTAAAATTCAACTTTAAACTTTTATCAGAAGCAGAGAGGAGATGGCTATATTTACTGGAGATGCAGCAAACGTGGGAAGGAGCAGCACTGTCCAGCCACAGTGATTCAAAAAGGCGACACCTTCCAAGAAGGCCTAAAAAATCATGTTCACCCTGCAGAGCCAGGAGTCCATTTAGCCATCAAAATGAAAGCTGAGGTAACTTTTTCTTCTTATTATGATAGTCAATAATACATAATTATGTATAGTAAAATATAATTAAGATTATTAAAATATGAGTAAGTATTGTTTCTAAACACCATGGAATAGTTTGTGCTTTTTGCACATTGTAAAACAGTCAGCAAATTATTCAATAGAAGCATTTTAATTCATTAAATTTTTTTATTATATGTAACCTTTTTATAATATAGGTGAAGAAAAAGGCGGTGGATAACATATTTACAGAGTCTGCACCCCGCATTGTAGAAAATGTCATGAATGCCGCCTCAGATGTTGATGCTCCCCCTGCCAGTCGTCCAAAGCCTGCCAACATGACAAGGATTGTCAACAGGGTTAGACAGAACCTGCGGCCTCAAGATCCACAGGATTTAGATTTTGAGGTAGTTTCAACAATTATAATACGTACCATACCTAGCAAACAATTATTTATTTATATACACTGTCGTAAACCTAACCAGAAATTCAGAATTTAAAAAAAGTTAAAATCAATGAATCAATAAATTATTATACACTTCTGTGTTTTATAGAAAATGACTTGTTATGTAAATTTTATAGCTTGACATCGGCTTCCTGGAGCAGCAGATGCCAAACTTCAGACATGTTGATGTCTATGTTTCTGGCCGTCGACATCTGCTGATGTATACGGACTACCAGCTGCAGCTCCTGGCTAAGGCCAAAACCTGGTATCTGGACGCCACATTCCGGGTTGTCAACAAACCTTGGTATCAACTCTTCACCATCCACTCCTTTATCCGCGGTGGTGCTAACATGAAGCAAATCCCTCTGGCATTTTGCTTCATGTCTAGCAAAAGAAAGGCCGATTATTATGAAGTAAGTTTATCAAACAAAAGTAATTAAGAATAATGTTACTATTAAAGTAATGAATTAAAAAAAAACTTAACATTTCATTAAAATAAATATATGAGTATATAGCAACAATTACTACTAAACCACCTTGCAATAATTTAAATGTTGCATACCATTTAAAAGTTCTTGCAATTTTTCAGGTTCTCAGGACAATTGATCATCTCCTGCCAGACAACATCAGTCTCCATGGTTTTGTTGTTGACTTTGAGGCAGCCATTTGGAGAGCAGTGCAGGACAGATTTCCTGGATTTGTCATACAAGGCTGTGTGTTCCATTGGACCCAGGCCGTGTACAGAAAGGCCCAAGAACTGGGTTTGCAGGTACACACATATTTTTAAACAAAATTTGTAATGTAACCACAGGGACTGGTAACACACTTTATTTGATTAATTTACGTAATCACTACATATATATATATAATCTATTTGACGTTTTGGTCTACAAATAGTTATTACAAAAAATCAAATACAGCATGCTACCGGCATCTGTAATTGTAACAGCAGAAAAAAATATATATAAACAGCTTACACAAAATATCCATTTCTTAAAAATATTCCTTAATTAAGGCATAATAAGAGTTTTTATGTGTTCAAATGTTTATAAATGATACAATATGTGTAATAAATAAATAAATATTTCTTTATAGAGGGCTTACAACACAAGAGGAGAGGTGCATGAGTTTATTCGTCAAGTGCTCGCCCTCCCTTTCTTGCCACCAGAGCACATAGTCGAGACATTCCACCATTTGGATCGGCGTGTACAGACGGACTTGCTCGATTCCCTTATGGAATATGTGTGGCGCCAGTGGCTGAATAACCCCATTTTTTCTGTCAGGAACTGGAGTGTGTTTATGCTCGCCATTCGCACCAACAACGATGTAGAGGGATGGCACAACAGGCTTAACAGCAGAGTTGCGCAAAGAGGTCCTGTTCCCTTCTACTTGTTGTTGGTGGAACTACACAAAGAGGCAAAACAGATCCCCCTCCAGGCAAAGTTGATCTCCGAAGGGAAGATGGTGCGCATCCATAAGAAAAGGACAACACATGTAAATGGAAAGTTGTTCGCTGCATGGAAGCAGTATTCGGAGGGGGAAATGACCACCAGTCAGCTTTTGCGGCGTTGTGCCAATGTGTATGGACCAAGTGATTAGACTATGCAAGGTCAAATACAATGTTCATGTTATAGTATCATTTATTTAAATATTATATGTATATTTTATATAAATGTTTATAGATGTGACGAGCTTATGAAGTGGAAAAAAGAACCGAATACATTTGTTTCTTTCTTTTGTGATGATCTGCATTAAATCAGTTTGTTTTGAATATGACACACAAATCAATCGTTTGTGTTTTCTTTACTTCTTATGAAATAATAATATTTTTTTAATAAAAGGGAAAATAAATAATCTATCCTTATTTTGCATGAAATAAATAATCTGAATAGAAAAAATTGCCAGTCCCCCTAAACTTACTTCTGACTATATGTACAGAAAAATGTTTATAAAAGTCAATTTATGGTTATGAATAAAAAAAAAAAATTCTGAAGTATTTTTAACAGCTGTAAAAGACAATCACATACTAATTAAAATATTCCTGTAATTAATGTAATAGCGCATGGTATGATATGTACGTAATTAATAATACCTTTGTGTAACACTTGATGGGTTAAAAATTATAAACAAAACAAGTGCTTGTGATGTTCATGTATGTATATTATCAGATCTAATTAATTTTGGATAACTTGATCGAGGCTTCAGTATTTAAATATTTATGAATAACTAACATAAAATGATTACCAGAATGAAAATCAAATGTTTCTTTAACCATTCAGTGTTAAAAAAACGTAATTATTCCATTTTACTGTAATACATACCCAGAGTTACTAAATATACCATTAATCAGAAAGATGATTTCAAACAGACCTATTTCCTAATAGTAATATACAACCACAAGTTATATGGTGTTAAACTAATTTACTCAATATTTAGATAGGTTCCCAAACGTCGCGCTTAAGGTGCCGAAACGTCGGGGTGCCGAAACGTCGCGGTGCCGAAACATCGTCGCAGGTGCCGAATCGTCGCGGTGCCGAAACATCGCGGTGCCGAAAAGTCCAGAATTCTGTTAGATATGTTCTGCGTGTAACATTAAAACCTCTTGCAATTGTAGATTGCTGTACCCCTGCTTCCAGTCGCCCATTTTCTTTTCTGTGCTACGCAACATTCAGATGCAACATTTTTAGGAAGCGTCATTTTTCAGATAAAACAAGATTCAAAATATCGAGAACCCCCGATTTTGATAGCCCCTTTGTACCTGAAAGAATTGCATAGAATATTCAACAAATAAAAATTGAGATCAAAATTTTGGGGGACATTTTGCAAAATCAGGTCTTTTTGTCTGTGAGGCTTGTAGAATAGCTGTAAAGTTAACAATTGCATTAAAAAATCATGCATTTCACTCGAATACATCGTATCCATACAAAAAATAAAAGGTATGACAAAACTATCATACATTTTTCAGGGCATTGTTCCTACTATGCGTTTCTTTTTTTGAAGAGTTTATTATATTTAGTCAAAGAAAAGGAGTCAATATTTACTCTATACTCTGTATGATATGTCTTTTCTAATGTAGATTACGTGCCCGAGTTTCTCATAACTTTTTCCTATAATTCAAACTAATTGAATGTTATAATATTTATTCAAAATTTTTAAGACATATAATAGTTTATTGAAGGATGAGTATATTCCTTATGATTTCTCAAGTTTTGATGATTATATCGGACAAGTGGACCCAAGTATTTAACTACAAAAATTGGGGTTCAAAAGTTGTAACGCGCATATACATTTAGAATGCTATTGCTTTTATTGTCCATACCATCAGCTTAACTTCTTTCATTAATTCAAAAGTTTCAATTATAGTAGTATATCGTTATTTCTGCCTGTGACGTTGTTCATTTATTGTAAAAACTGAATGCATCTGTTTAAGCCTGGAAAAGAGATCATATTTTAGAACTAACGGCATGGATTGGCACCTTGAAAACATCTTACTAGGTGGCACTGTGTGTTATTTTTTACATTAGAAAAACTTTTAGGTAATTACACTATTAACATAAATGAAATATTCTCGGATGGCAGTATATAAAATGCAAGATTCATATAATTAAATCTTTCAATTTCATAATCAAAGTTAAATATACTAATGTGTTTTATCATGCTACATTCTTATAGAATGATATACTTCATAGCAGCATTGTAATGATATTAATTTGTTTCACGTTTTCGTAACAAGGGAAGTACTTTCAATGTCAATTAAAGTATAAGTGGTTTCTAAATCTGTATAAACTTAACACAACTGAATTTTTTTTACTTCCCTATCGTTTCAATTTAATCTAATTAGAGTTTTTCAAGGTATAGAAGAGTTTCAATTATTAAAGGGCTTTTATGAAGCTCTTATTATATCGTACACCTGTATAAGAGTTTTAGGATAAAAATAAATATTCCAGCAATAGACGAAAATCTTGATCAGAACAAACCACTTAACCATGGAAACATCAGCGGTAAGATCAGGTATCGAAGTATCTCAAGTTTCTAGGAGCAAACATCCATCTTAATCCGCCATGAGCCCTTAGTTTTGATATGTTAATACATAGGGGAATATTCAATAAAAAATAACTTACAATTGGTATCAAACGGGAAAAAAATTCACTCGACTATATATAGTAATTACAGACAAATCCACTCTAAGGTCCGTAAAATGAGCACAATATTGAATTAAACTAGCTTTCCGAAATAATTGTAATATAATCTTATTTGTTTTAGTTTGCTTTGGTTAAAATTATCAGTTTTTGTTAGATTTTGCTTCAAAGTAAATCATTGTCTGGGGTATCTTGTGTGAAAATTCCAGAATTTTAATTTAAAATAAAATTTAATTTACATATTTGCTATTCATTCATTTGTGAGAAATAGTTTTAATGTCATTTTTTTATTTATATATATTATATGCCTAATTTTACATTAAAAAAAAACAGCTTCTACAAATAGGAAATATTAAACGTCGGATGTCTCGTTTGTTGTATATACAATTGTTTGAACTTCATCAAGTATAATGTATGAATAATTCTTATCTTTTATTCTTAAATTTTTATATTTTACCTTTTGTGAAGGCTTTCCCGGATTTTAGTGGATAAAAAAAGTAAATGGGTTCAATGTGGAAATGAATTAATGAGTATCGTTACAATGAAAAAAAGGTGACGAATAGCGAATAACATCATAAAAACTGCGAACAATACAATGGCATTTTTTCATTAAAATATGTTTTGCCTTAGTATTGGTTAAATTGTCAAAAAGATTTCAATAAATGTTTGATTTTCCAGGGAAAATCCATGAATCTTAAAGTAAAGTTGAAAATTTTTCAGTCTTCAAAAGTCTTTTTTTTGTCTCAATTTCATCAGTTTTGACGCAAACATAATGCAATTTTTCCTTTTAAACATTAACTTAAAATACCTTTAGTTACGCGATAAAATGATTATAAAGTATCCAAGTTAAGATCATCGAACTTTCGTATACCTGAGATGTTATACTGAGATGTTTATTTCGATAATGATAAGCTTGTTAAAGCAGTCATTGCATTTATTATTTCAAATTTTACTATTATTCATGTGAAAAGATATATTTTCTATAATGCAGAGTTTTTATCTGTAATCTCGGGATAATATAAAAACTAAACGACAGGTAAGTAACTTTCAAAATAAAAGTTTTACAAATAACTGCAGTCTGATATATGATTTATTGATAGTATGTTGTGTAACGTCCCTCCCGAGAACTTTCACTCATATAGAGACACCACCACTCGCGGGTGGAGAACAGCAAATTTTGTCCTATACTCGGCTCTCAGGGCCATTGAGCAGAAAGGTTGTCTTTTTCGTTCCAGCACCTAATGCAACACAGGACCTCAGTTTATACGGTCTCATGCAAAGGACCGGTCTTCATGTTCCTCAGTGGGATTCGAGCACGCGACGTAAAGAAAAACTCCTTACTTTGCGACTCTAGAGCAGTCACTCTAACCACTGTGTCCCGTGGGTGACCCGTCCGATATAAATGATTGACAAACACATGTTCAAACTTAAATTGGTTAAAGAAAATTTTAAACTTTAACTAGTGTACTTTTCCAAAAGAAGTTTTTTTCACATGTTGTATAAGACCCGACCAATATTACTTTTCAGACCTTCGGCTGATATTGGTTTCTGGGGCCGATATACACTGTAGAATATGCTTTGAAAAAAAAACTTCATATTATCTTCTATATAATAATCTTTATATGTTGTTTATGTCTCTCAACCTTTTTAACACTCAAGGTTCTTGCAATTGGTACGATTACAAAGTCACTCATAGAAAAGTTGATGCTACATTTGTTCTTCCATCATTTAAGCGAGTTTATATCCTGCTTACATGTTTGAATTTCCTCAAAAAATTGAGATCGATTGTGTTCATTGTCTTTTTTTTATAGAATCTAACTATTATTTGGAATGCCAACGATAAGAAATGAAATATAATGAACACACAAATCTACGTCGCCTGTGTTGCATGTAAAATTTCCATGCCTTTTAAAACTGTTCATTTTTTCCCATCGGAAGTGTATGTAGTAGTATATCAAACAATTTTCTATACAGTACTTCAATATCCATACCATTATATACGCTTTATAATTTAAGTACATACAGCAAATAATTAATTTTCCTATAATGTAAAATAAATTGAAGTATCCGATATATTTTGTTTGAATTGAATTAGGCCCTGGTTATCAGTCTGGTATTTCGGTCACAACTTTCAATAATAGGGATAAAAGCTCCGGTCTCTAATTAAAAATAAGACATTTAACCTAAAACGAAATACACATATCATTAAATATTAGAAGTCTTGTCGTATTAATTTTTCTTAGACACACACACTTTGTTTAAAATAAAGATATTTTACATTTACATGTACTTTGTTTGACCCTTATAAAAAGCATTATAAAACTAGAGCCGAGCCCGTTGCAAAGCAACGAATAGGTCTTCCGTTGAAGCTACGAACTAGTCTAGAAGACGTAACCTTGAGTCGAGGTCAAAAGCCACATACTAGAGATATACAAGGAAAAAACCTTGTAAGAGAAGCAA